CCCCAAAACCCCAAAACCCCAAAACCCCTAAAATCTTATTTCAAATTTAAATAATTAAAAATAATATGCAAAATAAGAATCCCTCCCATAGAAACATAGCTTCCCTTGCTATTTCAGTTTTAAGAGAGAAAGGTACAAATGAGAAGCTCCTCACTGAACTAAGTCAGGACCAAGGGTTTCAAAGATTCTGAAATGAATGGCTCGCCCAGAGATGTCAGAATGAGCGTAAAACTGCACTACAATCTGATCTTGACAATTTAGCTGTCTTGAAAGATCAAAATAAATCTCAGCACCCTGTAATCAGTGTGAAATAAGCTAGAGAAATTGAGGCTATTTGAGAAAAGAATTAACTTTAGAGATTCCACCTTGCTCTCTACCATGATTCGTGAGAAGAAAGTCCAAATATATGGCGGCTATTCTTTTGAAGAAACTCAAAGGGAACTTGTTGTTGATAAAACTGATAAATATGCAATTAAATTCTGAAAATCGCTCAGAAAAGAGACTTTTCCTGCTTTTGAAAATGTAAATCTAACTCTTCCAGTTAAAAGTTCAAGAGCGGTAAAGAAATTCCTAACAGATTCATTCCCTTCTCATACAAAAGTGATCTACCTAGACAACTGCAGAGTCAGGATAGGAACAAAACAAAGCAAGGTTAGTAGATATTTCCCAGAATTGATCCGAACTTTACCAAAAGTAACCGAAAAAATATATTTGAATCAGTTTGATATATCTACAGAACAATTGAGAACAATATTTTCTAGCAGTAGGAAAACGCCTTTCCTTGAGTTCAACACATGTAGGCTCCACATTGAGACAATTCCTGATCTTACGAGACCTCTTTCTCAATGCAGAATCCAGACCTTGAGCTTTGATTATTGTGGTCACCCAAGATTTAGCAATTGGCAAGATAATCAAATAGAATTTGAGAACTTAGTCTCAGCTTTATCTCAAAGCAGTGATCTTAAGAAATCACTAAAAGATATCAGTTTCCTCGACTCTTGTGTTCCAAAGAAAGAGTTCGAACGAATCATCGAGAAATATGGCATTAACCTCATGGCTGTGTCTCCTCATCTTGAGTTACCATAATCTGTATCCTTATTCTATCTCAATATTTGTAGTTTAAACCGGGGTTTTGGGGTTTTGGGGTTTTGGGG